TTCAGCAGCCAAGGCTGATTCCTATGAAGTGGAGGTCAGACATGCTACCACCCTCCAACCTTTTTAACAATTCTGACACCAATTGCCCCTCCTACAGCCCTGTCTTTCGGCTGGGTTTACTAAGTCATTGTAATGTCCACACAGAACTCACATATAGTACTCATGATTATGGGGTTCATTAGGGAAGTATCAGGTTACAATTCAGGATCAGAAACAAGTCAGGATACAGTTCTTCAATCAGGACAGCTTCTTCTCAACCATGTCACACGCATGCTTCTCTCTGGTCTTGGCCTTTGCCCTGCTTGGGTAAAAGTTACAAAGCTCTTTTAGCTTTGCTGATAGGCCCTGGCACAGCCAAAGTACTCAATAACTATAAGCAGAGGATATTCCCATAGTTGTTTATGCTCTTCCTTCTTCCATCGTGGTGTCCACCAAATACCCAGAGAGGCGCTCCACTCTGTCAGCAAGGCTCCTGCCTGAAGGCATTCAGCTTTCTCACTTTGTAGGCTGGGAAGCCCCCCACTCTGTCTCATGCCAGCCGTGGTTCTGCTGCCTCTGCTGCCATTATTTCTCTGCCGCTGCTTCTTGCCATCTCAACAAAGTGCTGCAGCTTTCTTTCTCTGTCTCCTGGGTTGAGGAGGTCCAACACAGGGATCTTGGGTCCAAAGGATGCATCCACTTCTGGCTCTTCTTTCTTGATTGTAGTGAGATCCCCCTTTCCACCTCTAGGATGGCTCATTTTAAGCCTAGTAAGATGACAAAACTGACCAACCTCCATGTTAGAGTTCCATACACCTTTTTGCACAGTTCCACCCCCACAAGGTACCATGTACCTTATTTACATTATTAACAAACTGTCCAGTCCATGATGTGGGCCAGAAGCACCTCACATTTGCATCGTCTCACCTAGTCATCTGGTGGGAGTCACAAAGACTAGAAGAACCATATTAAATAATTCACTGCACTACACTCTTTAACCAAAGAGCCTTATTTTTCTGAGGTATGAACATGAGATGGTTGGTGTGATGGCTCCGCTAAAGATGGCCATGCTATAATACCTAGAACCTAGAAATGTGTTAGGATACATGGCAAAGGAGAATTAAAGTTATAGGTGGAGTTAAAGTTGCTAACCAGCTGACCTTAAAATAAGGAGATTACCCTAGATTATCTGAGTGGGTCCAATGTAGTCACGAGGATCCCTTAAAGTAGAAGAGGGAAGTAGGAGATCAGGAGTTAGAGGAATGGTTAGAGACATACAACATTGCTGGATTTGAAGATGGAGGAAGGAACCGTAAGCCAAGGAATATCGGTGACTTTTAAAAGCTAGAAAAAGGTGAGGAAATAGATTCTCCCCTAGAGCCTACAGAAAGGAATGCAGCCCTGCTGACGTCTTGATTTTAACCCAATGAGACTCTTGTCAGAATTCTGACATCCAAAACTGTAAAATAATAAATCTGTGTTGTTTTAAGCCACTAAGTTTATGGCAATTTGTAACAGCAGATACAGGAAACTAATACCGTTTGTTTCTAATAACTGCTGCTGCCTGGGCTCCCCCTATCCCAGGGGAGTGGACATTTTAGTCCAATTTCAAAACTTTCAAGGTACCTTTGATTATTAAACAGACTCATTTCTGTTTTTAAAACTTAGTCATGTTCATTTTAAAACTTCAATCTTACATTTGAATCAAAGTTTTTCCCTTTGCCCCAGCAAAGGGAGTGAAGAAAAGGGTGGTGGCTGCTCAGTTCTCTCAACAACCCCTTCCCTACACTTTACTTCTCTGGTTTTGGGATGAGGAAGCAAGAGAGGAACAAACATTTGCATGGGCAGTCTTCCATTAGTAGGCTATCACTGCTGATCTAGTCTGTTCGGGTGGGGCAGAGGTTCCAACCGGTCCAGCAATGAGGGTCTCAATCCATGGGCACTGGTGGTCCCTTGAGAGATTCAGTTCATCTTTGAACTCTCAGCACCCTCTTATGCAAGCACTTCTTCACCTATGCTGTAGTAGTTCTCAGTATGCCTGTGCCTCCCAATCTACCTACCCTCTGTAGCCCTAACTCCAGTCTTCCATACCTTTTCTGGACCTGAACTTGAGCAGATAGTCATTGCATGTTCCCCACTGGCTATATTCCCCATCATCTCTCCTAGAGCTCCTCTCCCTTCTTTGGCAGTGAAGTCGGACCAAATGTGGGTTCCTGCCCAGTGTGCAATCATGCCAAAATAGTTTACACACTGAGTGGTTAAGAGGAGAGAAAATTTATTGCAAAGTGGCAATGCAAGGAGACAGGGGCCAGTACCCAAATCTGACTCCCCAAATGGAGGTCAGGATACAGTTTGTAAGCTTCACGAGAGGGGGATTATACATATTCATAAAAACTTCAGGAATTTGGGCATGAATTAACTGAGGATTGGCTGAGACTTCCTTCACCTTGGTTTAAAGGGACAGTCGATTTTTAATTTTAATGCAATGCACTGGCGCACTGGATGAATCACATTGGCTTCCTGTCATCAGCTGATCGGGGCTTGGGCAGAGGGGAGAATGTCAGTTCCCAGCAACTTTGTTCCCATTTGTCTCACTGCGCATATCCACGTGTCTGAGGGCTGAAGTTAATTTTCAAGTTGTTTCTTGAGCACACATTAACATATTTATCACCTGTTTCTAGCAGGATAACATGAAGAGATTGTGTGAATTGACCTTTCATTCCATTCAGTTCTTAAAGAACTGAGTTATCATGTTTACTTATCTGCCTCCAACCAAGGTAACAGACAGGATGCAGACTGAGCTTTGATTCATGAGGTATCATGTTGCCTATCTGTCTTAACCAAGGTGGGGGTGATAGTTGAGCTTTCATTCTATTCAGTTCTTAAGGAACTGAGTTATCTTGTTTACTTATCTGCTTCCAACCATGATGCAGGCTGGACTTTGATTCCACTTGGCTTCAGCAGCACCCTGGCCATTAACCTAGCCCGGTGGCCCAGTGGACATCCAAATGGGAATGAGATAGGATCCTTGGCCCCATCTCTGCTGCACTCTTGCCAAAAGACAAGCTCCCTTGGTTGTGTTGAAAAGGTATCTCTCAGCAGTTCACAGGGAAGGAGGTGAACCACAGTGGTGTTTCTCTGGTCTTAGAATGTGGGGAATTTTTTCTCAACTCTGGGTCTTGATCCCTCATTTTAGGAGAATCCCCCTTGGCCTCTCATACCACCCTATCACTATCACAGCAATGCTTCTACTAAAACAAGACATCTTGGACTCTATTTGTCCTTTCCTTGATGACCTGGAGGCTAAACATCAACAGAAGAAGGCCCTCTGACATACAGAGAAAACATCCTGGCCCTCTTTCCAACCTGAGTGGCCTTGGGCAGGTCATTTCACCTCAATCTCAGTTTCCCATCTGTGAAACAGAGCAGTAGCAGGGATGAAATGAGGTAAGAGATGGGAAAACATTTGGCAGAGTGCTTGGTACACTGAAACACTCAAAACTTAGATGACAAATCAAATCAGTTTCATGTGTTAGAACAAAACTGAAAAAAGAAAACTTAGCACACTGAGTAGTTCTGAAAAATGACCCATAGTTTCACTTTCAGATATCATTCCACTTCCTCTTCCTTTCCCATGAACCTAAGGAGAATGAAATTTCTTTAACTTTGAAACTGAGTAATGGCTTGCCATAGAAACTATACTATATAGTTAATTGACTCTTTTTTCAATTTTGTGAAAGTAAACGCAAGTGGTTCAAAACTCTAGTACTGAAACACTACAGTCTTTTGTCTTCTCATCCCCTTCCTTTCACTTAATTATATTCCTCAGATGCAACAGCTTTTAATTCTTGTATCCTGTATTTACTTCTATTTACTAGCTCTAAAGGTAAGTTTATGTTGCTTTTGGGGGAAATTCTTTGACAGTAAAGCAAAAAGACAAAGAGACAGAAAATAAGAAAGATATACAAAGAATCAAACATTTGAATAAGAGCAAAGAGACTTGAGAAAATGGAGAGAAGAACATTCTATCTACCTGTCTGTCTTTCTTTCTTCCTATCTGCTTATCTATCTATCCAACTATCCATCCACTCACTCATTCATCCATCCATCCATCCAGGTGGTCCCCAAAAGCTAAAGAAAGTAAGATGTGAGATTCCAATTTAAGTTTTTTGACCTATGGGCTTTTTTTTTTTTTTTTTTTTTTAATTTTTCTTGTGATTTGGGTGAAAGTTTACAGAGCAAATTCATTTTCCATACAGTAGTTCATACACATTTTGTCTCATGACATTGACTACAATTCCCCACAATGTATCAGCTCTCTGCCCACTTCCTTCCCATAGTTTCATCTTCCCTGTGCCTTTACCTCCCATGCACTCCTACCCACACCCTGAGCTGTCTCCCTGTGCAAACATTGCCCTTCTGTTCTCCCATGATTGATCACTCCAAGTAGTATATCTACCTGATGTAAATGTTCAGCCCATATGCCTATTATTTGGCTGGAAGCTACAGGAGTGACTTCACTTCCAGTCTTGAAGGGTAACTAGGGGCCATAGTCTCAGGGGTCTCACCAGGCTCTATCAGATCAGCAAACCTTATCTTTTTTTTTTTTTCTTTTCTTTTTTATGATTTTGAGTTTTGTTCCCCTGTGGCCTTTTTTTTTTTTTTTTTTTTTAATCCAGTACTCTTTTGACTTCTTTGGGCCTTGCCTAACCAAATTTCCATTCTCCATTTTTTTCTTTTCTTCTCCCTATGTTCTTCTTCCTCCCTTGCCCTCTTTTGTGCATCCTGAAAAGATAATCTGCAACAAACATCTGTCTTCATGCCTTGGAGGTGAGTTATCCCAGGAAACTGATCCATTTTAAATGTTAGAAGGTCTTTGTAGTAGTAACAGTTTTAACATCAGCCTAACTCTGCCCTGGTTCCTCTGTCACCTTCCTAGACTGCGGTTCACATCATGAATACAGCTCAAAAGCATAAATCTGAAATGGTACTAAATGCATGGGTGAATTTCCATCGGCTAAATGGTGACACTGAAGGTTGACTCTCAGGTAACCAGAACACCAGGATGTGTCCCAGGCCTCAGGATTACTTTTACTTTAATTTCCAAATGAACTAGAAAAGGTGTCCTTTCCACAGACAATGGGAGTTCAGCCCCTCCCCAAGATCTCCTGGAATTCTTGGTGGGGGATACTCCTAATAGTCCATCTTATTAGTCTGTTCCCCACTGTTACTTGGAGACTGGCATCTGCTCATCTCTCTACTTACCATATGTCATCCATGGCATGGAAAACCACTGCACACATGTCATTTCTCCCCAGGCTCTGCTCATACAAGCCTATTTGTTGTGCAGTTTTATTGACAGTGGATGGTAACAGAAGAAGATTGCAACATAACGTAACACAGGTAACCACTTAAAATTGCACATTAGATCCATTGGTCACTTTCCACAATAGGGAACATCTAAGAATGCTTAGATTTGCTACTATCTTCTTGACCTCTCCCTCTGCTGCCACCCTCTTCCAAGATGCTCCTCTACTAGCCTACCGGCCTCCAACCCCCAAATAATTATTACTTTTCTCATGCAAATCAACTCAGCTTGCTCTGAGTCTTCACCTTCGCCCTTCTGATCCTGCCTCTGACTCAGAAAGATCTATCAAGGTATTTTACCAACCCGCCCTCAAACAAAAGCCCGCAAAATTCCATCTCTCCTGTTATGAATTAAGTCTATCTTGCCCTTATTATTTAAAAACAAGTGATGTCAATTATTGGCCTTAAATAGTACATTCCCCCTCCTACTAAGTGTTTGACAACATAGAGAAAGCAGTAATTATGCCACCATTTCTCAAGTGCCTACCACCACCACCAGTGGCCATCAATTTGTGCATCAGTTTGTGGCTCCAGAGTGGAATTGTGCTCTGTAGAGTTTTCCATGGCTTTGATTTTTCTCAAGTGAACCATCAGGACTTTCTTCCAAGGTGTCTTTGGGTAAGCAAACCTCCTTTCAGTTAGCAGCTAAGCACATTAACTGTACCCACCACTCAGGGAGTCCATGTCACTCCCAGATTAAGTGACTTGTCTGAGGTCTCCTGGTTACTGATTGGTAGGGTTTGAATGTAAACTAGTGCCTGTCTGGTTCCTAAGCAGATGCCTGTATCTCTGTACAACATGGTAGATAATCCCCACCACTACCACTACTCCAGGATGCCATTCATTTATGCTTCATTTTTCTATCTCCATTGCTTTTCTATCTCAGGATTCCACTGCAATGGATTGGTGGAGGGACAACTTCTGGATCATCTTAGCTGTGGCCATCATCATTGTCTCCACGGGCCTGGGTCTTATCATGTACTGTGTCTGTAGATGGCAGCTTAGACAAGGTAATGACCATCTCACTGGGGTGGGTGGAGGGAAGAAAGGGGTTATCAGTGCATTAGGACTCTTTTCAAAAAAAAAACCACCTCAAACTCACTGCCTTGGAGTTGGATCTGACTCATAGTGACCCCTCCTTGGCTTTCTTTTAGGGTAGGAAAATTCATTCTGGGCCTGTGTGGGCTGAATTTTGGATTAGCATCATGCATTCTGGGCTTGAGTCTCACCTCAGCACTAACTCATGTCCTTGAGCCTCAATTTCCCCACCTAGACAGTAAATGGAGAGAAGTTAAGTGGTCTCCAAGAATGCTTCCAGCCCTAATGGACTGGGTGAAAGAAGAATCTATTTCAAGGCACAATATGCGTAAGTGCTTTCTTTCTCTCGTGTGGCTGTTAGCCACAGTATCTTATCTTGGAGACTTGAGAGAGCACAAGTCTGTAGAATGTCAAAATATTCTCCTGAGGAGTGCAGTGTAAACTCAACCCATGATCAACATATTGTTTGGCCACCATGACTGCCTCTTCTAAGGTCATATTCTGAATTTTTTGCTATTATCACCATCCTGACCAGGTATTTTTGCCATCCTTGACAAAAAAAAGGTAGCTACCTGTGGATTACCATTAATTTTGGATTATCTACAAGTGGGTTTTCCACTTTGCTGCTCATCTTCAGAAACATGAAACCCCTGATTCAACGATGCTTTTGCTTTAGATCCTATCCCTTTAAACAATGTCCTAAACCAAGAGTACACTTGGGGGATGGTAACTACGTTGAGATGTAGAACCACTTTCCCCTGGGGTACCTTGGAAGTCATTCTTCAGTGAGCAAGGCCACACCCTCAGAATCCTGCTCAATCATTGCTAAAAAATCAGGGCTGCACAATCTCTTCTCGTCTCTGAGATAAGAAAATTAATGTTTGAAAGGAGATAGGGCCTTAGTTGAGGCCCCATAAGGGTTGATAGCAGGGTTGGGACCAGAAATTCGGTCTCATGAGCTCCCAGGTCAATGCTCTTTCCTGTCTACTCCTCGATGGTAACTAATTTTTCTCTTTAAAACAAAAATTGTATTCTGGTTGTCTATAGTCTTCTATCTTAAAACTTTCCTTCTTAAAAGTTTTCATTCTTAAACATGGACAAAAGAATGACACTGAACATAAACTTTATCTTTTATCTTTAACTACTCCTATTAATAAGCAGGTTATCATTAATAATAATTTGTATACCCAGAACATCACAGTTTACAATCTGCTTTTCCCATTCTTTATCTTGTTTCCTCCCAACTGCACATATGTTTCTGAGTGTCACCTAAGTGCCAGTACTAGAAAATAATCACAAGGAAATAAACACAGCTCACATGGTCATTGTCATCACTGGACTATGCAGTCAGATGACCAGAGTTCAAATTCCAACTCTACCACTCACTAGCTCTATGTCAATAAGTCTGGCTCCTCTTGCATGTTCTTTCCAAATGTGTTAGGCCTGCTGGCCTTTGAGGACTTCTAATGTCTAAAATCACAATCGTTGTTAACTTTTCCTGAATGGAGATGCTTTCTTTCCCGTAGGCAAGAAATGGGAAATTGCCAAGCCCTTGAAACAAAACCAAAGAAATGAAGAAAAGATGTATGAGTAAGTGGGAGCAAATCCTTCTGATTTTTAATTTTGAGAACTGCTTGTTCACTTCCACTGTTACTCCTACACTATTTTACTAGTATGACTGAAACACCAACTTTTTCTGTGGTGACAGTGAAATGTTACATTTTCTGACTCTCCGCCTTGAAGGGAAAATGTCTCAGGGATTTGGGTGTGCAGAGCACTCTGTCTGCTCTCCAAGTCCTCTCTCATCTAATCTTTTTTGGTAGAGGTCATAGGTCTGCCTCCATGTTCTGGGCCCACCATTCAGGGTTAGGTCTACACATTTTCTCATTAGACAGATTACAAGTATAATCCTCTTAAAGCTATTATGCTGAACAAAAACATATTCTCACTTTACTTTTTTATTTTATATATTTGGGGCTTTATGATAGCTATCTATGTTGGTAGTCCTCAAGATCACCCTCAGATTCAATGATTCACTAGAAGGACCCACAGGATCTAGAAAAGCTCATAGCTACCCATGCTGTTGTTGTTGTTATGTGCCGTTGAGTCAGACCCGACTCATAGTGAGTTGGGTTTCTGAGGGAATATCACTATGGAAGTAGATTGTCCACCCTTCCTTCCAAGGAGTGGCTGGTGGGTTTGAACCACCAGCCTCCTGGTTAGCAGTCAACTGCCTTAGGCACTACACTACCAGAGCTCCCATAGTTCCAGCTTATTACAGTGAAAAGTACACATTGAAATGAGCGAAAGAAAAAGGCATATAAGGCAGACTCCAGGAAAGACCAGGTATGAGCTTCCAGTAGTCCTCTCCTGGTAGAGTCACACCAACAACACTTAATTCTCCTAGCAACAGTGGGTGTCAATGTGTGTAAATGTGCCAACCAGGGAAGTTCCCTTGAGCCTTGTGTCCAGTATTTTTATTGTGGCTTAATCACATAAGTAGTCATGACACTCAATCTCAACAGAAGTCAAACTGATGTAGTGTGACCCAAAGTCACTGGGCATAGAAAAATAGGCATTCACCATAAACTACATTGTTAGTATAAACTGTCTGACATGGCCTAAGACCCCAGGAATACAAAGACATGTCTATCAAGCAGAATATCCTAAGGGCTTAGAGCTATCTCCCAGGAGCCAGTTAAGGGCCCATTCTTTCTTTGGAATGTGTGCACTATATAAAACAAAATCTACGCTTTTCTAAAATGGCTTGTGATGTGCTTGCTTCAGTAGCACCTATACTAAGAAGACTCAAGGAGTGCACCAAACAATAGACTCCTTCCCCACCAATTCTGATTCCTTGAGGAGTAAAACAAATATGCAAGGCAGTTAGGTGGCCAATATATTACCTTTATAAAGAGTAAAGCTAACAGGAGGAAGAAATGGAATATGTGTTATGAGACCAGAAGAAATGGATGGTGCCCATCTATTATTACTGAACAGTTTGATAAAAAAAATTCTGTAGAAAAAGCCTTGATCAAAAGGGGGAAAATGTAGAACACAATTTGAAATTTTCAAGGAATCCAGACTTTCTAGAGCCACCGAGGCTGAATGAATCCTCTGAACTATTACCCTGAGATCATCTTTAAAGCTTAAACCAAAAGTGTGCCCTGAAGTCTTCTTTAAACTAAACATTTAGCTTAATTAGTAAAGAGTGTCTGCCTTGAGCATTGTGCACTTTTATTGAACTCACTTCTGTGGCTTCTAGCCAAACAATAGACAGGCATATGGGATGAACATTTACATCATGTGGATACACTCCTTGGAGAGATCAATCATGGGAGAACAGAAGGGCAGTGTTTGCACAAGGAGACAGCTGGGGTGTGGGGGTGGTGGAAGTACATGAGAAGAAAGGATACAGGGAAGAAGTTAACTATGGGGAGAAAGTGGAAAGAGAGCTGTTACATTGTGGGAAGTTGCAGTCAATGTCATGAAACAAAATATGTTTGAATTGCTGTATGGAAAATGAATTTGCTCGGTAAACTTCCACCCAAATCACAATTAAAAAAAAAAAAAAAAAAGGCTGGCATTGCAAAATGTAGCTCTATTCCAGGAGCAAGTGAGCTTCCTAATTCTGAATTGGGCAAATTTTCCTGCCCAGTTCACAGACAGCCCCAGGAAGCCTCTCGGGTCTCTCCCCACCCCTACCCCGCAAAGCAGGCCCCTTTCTTTGAATGGTAAAGACCTGGGCAAAATATATGCTTCCTGCAATGAGGCCCAACTGGAGAAAGTAGGAGGAGCTGAATTTTTTTCTGAAATTGATCAGCCAGATAAATCACCCTCCTTTCCCAGACATGGAGAGATGGAGCCACAGGTGATGCCCCTGCCACACACCCCTCTTCACTTATCCTGAAACAACCTGAAAGTGCTTATGAATGCGCAGGAGGACAGAACCACATACAACAACCCAAAATTCAGCTCAGAAGAATCCAGAACCAGTTTGGAAATCAAGGCACATAGGTGGGAATGGGGATCTAGGTACAGAGGCTTTCTTGAAGTCTATTGTTTTTTTAAACTTCTTACTGAATTATAATATGCATACAGGAAAATGCACATTAATCGAGGAAGAGGAAGACATAGAGAGGTACATGGGAGGTACAGACAACAAAGATGAAACCTTTTGTATGTACAGTACTGCATTGTCAGTGAAGGCTAACATGGGTATACGGGTGGATAGATGGGTGGACAGGCTGAACTATTAGGTAGGTCTATGAAGCAGGGAGTGTACCCAAGACCACGTATAGAGTTGGCAGACAATGGTTCTATAAGTGTATTTGTATGATCTGTAAGAATTCCCAGGTGTATAGTAGAGCTGACAAGGGACAGGTTGTAGTCACTTCTTGGTAACAGCCAGCTACCCAGAGGGACCGAGTAGTTGAACCTGTGGGCTCAGGATCATTGTCACAGGGGACATCAAGCTCAATTGGCATAACATACTACACAAAACATTGTTCCACCTCCTACATTGGTGAGTAGTGACTAGGATCTTAAAAGCTTGCAAGAAGCCATCTAGATGCAACAATGGGTCTCTCCTCATCCAGAGCAAAGAAGAATGAAGAAAACCAAAGATTCATGGAAACAATTAGTACTAGCGACTGGTACACCATGCGATCCACAGCCTATACAACTATGAGACCAGAAGGGCTAGATGCCTGGCTACCACTGTCAACCACTCGAAGGGGGATCTATTTAGGAGATCCTGGATAGAGAGGAAGAACAATGTGGAACAACACTCAAAGTCATTTGGGAAAAAAAAAAGGGGGAGGACCAGGTTTGCTGGTCCTAGAGCCTGTGGAACCACTGAGATTATGGCCCCTACCTGCCCTTCAGGTCTGGAATTGAACCCACACCTGTGGCTTCCAGCCAAACAAAAGACAGACATATGAATTGAACATTTACCTGAGGTAGATACACTCCTTGGAGAGAACCATCATGGGAGAAAGAAGGGCTGCTTATGCACAGGGAGACAGCTCAGGGGGCAGGAGTGCATGGAGATTTGGACACAGGGAAGAGGTAATTATCAGGAGAAAGTGGGAGGGGAGCTGTTGCATTGTGGTAAATTGTAATGAATGTCATGAGACAACTTGTATGTGAACTGTTGTATGGAAAGTGAATTTGCTTTGTAAATTTTCACCCAAATCACAATTTAAAAAAAAAAAAAGAAAAGTGCATATTAGCAAATGTATCAAAAAGCAAAACTGAACCAGTTGCGGGACAGTCGACTCTGACCCATGGTGACCTCACATGTGTTAGAGTAAAACTGTGATCCAGAGGGTTCCAAGGGCTGATTTTTCAGAAGTAGATCACCAGGGCTTTCTTCCAAAGCATCTCTAAGTGAGCTCCAATCTCCATCCTTTCAGTTAACAGCCGAGCACATTAACTCTGCACCATCTGGGAACTGACTCCCAGTCAGTGTACAGTTCAATGAATTTCACAAACTGGATGGGCCCAGATATCCAGACCAAAAAACAAAATATTACCAACACCTCAGATGCTCACCCCATATTCCGTTGTAGTCATTTTGCCCCAAGGGAAACCTCTATATGACTTCTAATAGTGTCGATTTCTTTTCTCTTGTTTTAATGCTTTACAGAAATGGAATTGTATAGGAGGTGTCATTTGGTGTTTGGCTTATTTTGCTCCACAATATCCGTGTGAAGATCGTGTGTGTAGTTGTAGACTGCTCATTCTCACTGCCGTAGAATATTTCTGCCATGAGAGTACACCATGATTAATTTGTCCATTCTATTAAGTGCTGATGGGCGTTCAGGCTTGTCCAGTTCGGGGCTGTTATGAATAGTGCTGTTGTGAACATTCTAGCACATGTCTTTTGCTGAACTTTAAAAAAACAAAAAACATCAAATCTTCTTTGGTCTTCCTTATTCACTGTCCACCTCTCACATGTATATGAGGCAATTGAAAATACTATGCCTTGGGTTAGTCTTCAAGGAGATATTTTTGCTCTTCAGCACTTGAAACAGGTCTTTTGCAGATTTGCCCAATGCAACATGTCGTCTGATGTCTTGACTTCTGCTTCCATTGGTGCTGAACCAAGCAAAATGAAGTCTTGGACAACTTCAATCTTTTCTCCATTTATCGTGATACTGCTTATTGGTCCAATTGTGAGGATTTTTGTTTTCTTTATATTGAGGTGTAAGCCACACTGCAGACTGTAGTCCTTAATCTTCAGTAGTAAGTGCTTCAAGTCATCCTCACTTTCAGCAAGCGAAGTTGTGTCATCTGCGTATCTCAGGTTGTTAATAAGCCTTCCTCCAATCCTGATGTCACGTTCCTCTTCATATAGTCCAGCGTCTCAGATTATTTGCTCAGCATACAGGTTGTATAAGTATGGTGAAAGGACACAACGCTGACACCCTCCCTTCCTGACTTCAAACCATGCATTATCCCCTTGTTCTGTTTGAACAACAGCCTCCTGGTCTACGTACAGGTTTCTCATGAGTACAATGAAATGTTCTGGAATTCCCATTCTTCTCAATGTTATCCACAATCTGTTATGATCCACACCACCAAATACCTTTGCATAGTCAATAAAACACAAGTAAACATCTCTCTGGTATTTGCTTTGAGCCAAGATCCATCTGACATCAGCTATGATATCCCTCACTCCATGTCCCCTTCTGAATTCAGCTTGCATTTCTGGAAGTTCTCCGTCAGTATAGTGCTGCAACCATTTTTGAATTATCTTCAGTAAGATTTTACTTGTGTGTGATATCGATGATAGTTCAATAATTTCCACATTCTGTGGAATGGGTACAAATATGAATCTCTTCCAGTCAGTTGGCCAGGTACCTGTCTTCCAAATCTCTTGGGATAGCTGAGTGAGTGCCTCCAGTGCAGCATCCATTTGTTGAAATATTTCAGTGGGTACTCTGTCAATTCCTGGAGCCTTGTTTTTCACCAATTCCTTCAGTGCAGCTTTGCCTTCTTCCTTCAATACCATTGGTTCTTGAGCATATGCCACCTCCTGAAATGGATGATCATCCACCAATTCCTTTGGTACAGTGACTCTGTGTATTCCATCCATCTTCTTTTGATGTTTCCTGCATCATTCAACATGTTGCCCATGAAATCTTTCAATATTGCAATTCGAGGCTTAAATTTTTTCCTCAGTTCTTTCAGCTTGAGAAATGCTGAGTGTATTCTTCCCTTTTGGTTTTCTAACTTCAGTCTTTGCACATTTCATTATAATAATTGATTTTGTTTTCTCAAGATGCTCTTTGAAATCTTCTATTCAGCTCTTTAATTTTGTCATTTCTTCTGTTTGCTTTAGCTACTCTCCATTCAAGGGCAATTTTCAGAGTCTCTTCTGACATCCATTTTGGTCTTTTCTTTCCCTCCTGTCTTTTTAATGACCTTTTGTCTTCTTCATGAATGATGTTCTTGATGTCATTCCACAATTCCTCTGGTTTTTAGTCATTGGTGTTCATTGCATCAAATCTATTCTTTAGATGGTCTCTAAATTCAGGAGGAATGTAATCAAGGTCATATTTTGGCTCTCATGGACTTGTTTTAATGGTCTTCAGCTTCATCTTGAATTTGTATATGAGCAGTTGATGGTCTCTTCCACGATCAGCTCCTGGCCTTGTTTTGCTGAAGATATTAAGCTTCTCTATATTCTCTTGCCGCAGATATAGTCAATCTGATTCCTGTGTACTCCATCTGGCAAAGTCCATCTGAATAGCAGCCGTTTATGTTGTTGAAAAAGGTTATTTGCAACGAATAAGTCATTGGTCTTACAAAATTCTATCATGCGATCTCCAACATTATTTCTATCACCAAGGCCATATTTTCCAACTATAGCAGTTCTTCCTTGTTTCCAACTTTTGCATTCCAAACACCAGTGATAATTAATACATGTTGATTGCATGTTTGGTCAATCTCAGACTGCAGAAGCTGGTAAAATCTTCAATATCCTCATCTTTGGCTTTGGTGGTTGGTGTATAAATATGAATAATAGTAGCATTAACTGGGCTTCCTTATAGCCATATGGATATTATCCTATTACTGACAGCAGTGTATTTCAGGATGGATCTTGAAACATTCTTGATGATGATGAATGCCACATCATTCTTCTTCAATTTGTCATTCCCAGCATAGTAGATCATATGATTGTCTGATTCAAAATGGCCAAAAACAGTCTATTCTAGCAACGAATGCCTAGGATATTGATCTTTATGCATTCCATTTCATTTTTTGACAACTTCCAATTTTCCTAGATTCAGACTTCATACATTCCATGTTCTGATTTTTAATGGATGTTTGCATCTGTTTTTTTCTCATTGTGAGTTGTGCCACGTCAGTAAATGGAGGTCCCAAAAGCTTTACTCTTTCCACATCATTAAGGTCAGCACTACTCTGAAGAGTCAGCTCTTCCCCAGTCCTATTTTGAGTGCTTTCCCACCGGAGGGACTCATCTTCCGGCACTATACTGGACAATGTTTCAGGGCTATTCATAAAGTTTTCCAATAATATCTCAGACAGTGTTTCACTGCTATTCATAAGGTTTTCACTGGACAATTCTTTGAGAAATGTACAGTGGGCTCTTCCTTCTTTCGAGTCTGCCTTAGTCTGGAAGCTCTGCTGAAGTCTGTCACCATGAGTGACCCTGCTGGCATTTGAAACACTGGTGGCATAGCCTCCATCCTCACAGCAACACGCAAGCCACCACTGTAAGACAAACTAACAGACAAGTCTGTCTCCCTTAGCTGTTCCAAACTGTTCCACTCACTTCCCCTCAGCATGGCACCATCCCCAGGCTCTCCGACACCCACCTGCCAGCACCCAGCTCACTGACGCTGGTAGTGGGTGTAAGGTCGCAGTAAGGAGAAGAGGATGCACAAAAGTGGGGTTAAAGAGAAGTTTTTATTCTGCACTCCCAGGAGAGGTTTACGGGTCCCCAAGAGGGGCCCGGGCAAGGTTCACGGGTCCCTGAGAGGGGCCAGAGAAGTCGCGCTGCCCAGGTGAAAGAAAGGGTTTTTTTATAGTGATTTTCTTCCTGGTTCTTAGAGGACCGGAGGGAGAGCAGGGTATGTGTTACAGGAACCAATAAGGTTAAAGTACCCCATTAGCATGGGGGTAGGAATTAAAGTTGAAGTACTTCATTAACATAGTGGGCAGGAAATGGTTGGGGGCTTTGGTGAGTAAGAGTCAGGTGCTGGGGTCTTTCCTAAGCAAGGGCTACGTGCTGGGGTCTGGTATGGGCTCTGGTCAGGTGCCTCCTTGCTTGACCAGTTCTTATAATCCCCTCCGGCTCAGTTATTCACCCACCTGGCCAGCCATGTTTCTGCCTAACAGTGGGAATGCTACAGTCCCCAGGTAGTGTAAATAGTTAATGCACTTGGTGCTAATTTAAAAGTTGTTGGTTTGAGTTTACCCAGAGGCACCTCAGAAGAAAGGCCTGACAATCTACTTCTGAAAAATCAGCCATTGAAAACTCCGTGGAGCACAGTTCTACTCTGACACCTGTGGGTTGCCATGAGTAGGATTCAGTACAACAGCAGCCAGTTAGTGGGGTTTTGTCATAGGGTGTATGTATGTCTAGGTCTAGGAGTACTTCTGTTTTGCAACACAAAATACACCTGGTACATACCTCCCACTCCCAGTGCAGCTCAGATAGACCCAGAAGAGTGTGCTCCACGCTCCGAGTTACAGTGCTTCCATTCCATTCCCTCACTTTCATTCTTCCCTAAGTTGGAGGAAAAGGTTTCTTTATTATAACAGTTACCAAGAGGATACAGGATAGATAGAAAGGGAAGGGAATGCTTCCAATTTGTGGTGACCAAGATTTGAATATTCAGCTCTGTTTGTCTTGAGTTTTCCTTTATGTCTGCTTATAGTAGGCATAGTCAAAACCAAACACTGACTCATTCTCTTTCTCTCTCTCTAGGAATGTTGTTAATCAATCACCAATTCAATTACCTCCTCTGCCACCCAGGGGTTTGCCTCCTACTGAAGATACCTGTAAGTGTATTTTGCTGATAACAGTTTTACTCAGGCTAAGATAACAAATATATCTAGCAATTGCAAATGGTGGCATTCTGTTTAAAATAGAAAGGATAAGTTAAAAAGAGGAAGAATAAGTAACAAAGCTCCTGATACATAACGTGTAAATTCATGTTCCAATCCCAGCTCGGAAATGTGAGAAGCCTAGTGACAACACACTGGGCCCCCTTACATTTCCAATCAGGAAAACTCTGCCTGGCTCCCTGCTTCTGAAATGTTCTTCCTGAAACTCTTCACATAGCTGGCTTCACCTCATCCTTCAGGGGTCAGCTCAGATGTCACCACCTTGAAGAGACCATCCCCTACCACCCTATCTAAAGTATCCTACTGATTTCCTTTATGAAATTTACAACAGTTATCTGAAATTCTCTTATTTAGTTATTGCTCATTTGTTTATTATCTAGCTACTCCACTAGAAAATAAACTCCAGGAAGGCAGAAACCTTTCTTGTGTTGTTCACACTGATTATCACCACCAAGAACAGTGTCTGGAGCTTAGTGAATTCTTCATAAAAATGTTTTGATTGAATGAGTAAGTAGTTATATTAGCTAACATTTATTAAACACACACTGTGTGCCAGGCCCCATGCTAGGCACTTTCTGGGTATTATCTCATTTAATCTTCACAACAAATCTATGCGTCAAGTGCATTATAATTCTCCTTTGACAGATGAAGGGACTGAGGCACCGAGAAGTTAAGTGACTTGCCCAAGACCACACAACTAGTGACGGCTGGAACCTGAACATGAACTTAGATCTAACTGCAGGGCTCTGCAGGAAATGAAATTGTGGTAGCTTTTCAGGTTCTCTTGGGAGGAGATGAAGTCCCTGGGTATGCAAACAGTCAGAGTGCTCAGCTGCTAGCTGAAAGACTGGAGGTCTGAGCCCACCCAGAGGCACCTTGGGAGAAAGGCCTAGTGGTCTACTTCCAGAAAACCAGCCACTGAAAACCCTGTGGAGCACAGTTCTACGCTGACACACATGGGTCGTCATGAGTATAAATCAACTCAACAATAAATGGTTTGGGGAGAGGAGATGGAACTGCACTAGAGGCAGTTCCAGTCTCCACCAGCAGTCAGGCTGAACTGTTTGATCATACTTCTAGCCACTTTAGTCCTTTTGCTATGTACCCATTCTCTACTAATTCTACCTTTTCCAAACACCACTGGTTTCTTCCTCTCTTAGCAGACAAATCTGTACTTGAGGAATTACAGACAGTTCTGGAAAACAGTGTAGGTCATTGGAGGAATCTGTCAAAAAGGAAATGTGGTTTGTATCACTTCTTTATGAGAATTAGGATCTGCAGACACAGCTCTACTCATTTGGCTATCAGCCTTGGTCAGTTTCTTTTTTAAAGGTTCAAGGTCAAGCTTTGGTTTCATAAGACTGCAGTGCAGTCTTAGGCAGAGAAACATGGGGGATCAAGTACTGGAAGTCTGACTCTATTTGCCATTTGCTCACTTGGGTGAACTTGAGACAATGCCATGTTTAACTGCCTTCTGTAAAATGGAGATCTAGTCCACCAAAAAGTGGGAAAGTCCCTAAAACGCAGAAAATCATGCCATGCCACTGGTCAAAAATATACTAACATACAATGGCTTTGCATCTAAAGACCTTTTTGTGTCTTCCAGCTCTGTGGGAAACACCAAGTCAACCGCCAGTTACATACTCGTCTGTACATAAAGTTAAAAATACAAAGACAGTTTCTATTCCAAGCTATATTGACCCTGAAGATGACTATGATGATGTTGAGATACCTGTGACTGTTGGAAATCATCATTTTGAAAAAACTGTTTCTTCTTTTTGGCAAGCTGAGGAGGGTTCGCACAATTTATTTTAAAACAATCAACAATGGTTAAACTTCCCAATCACAAAATAGGCAAAGGACATGAACAGAACCTTCACCAAAGAGGACTTCCAAACAGCCAGCAAACATGAGAAGATGTTCACCTTCATTAGTCATTAGAGAGATCCTGATCAAAACTACAATGAGATACCATTTTACCCTGGTTAAAATGGCACTGACAAAACAAACAAAAGATAAGAATCCTTGCTGGCAAAGACGTGGGGAGATTGGAACTCTCATCCATTGCTGATAGGACTATCAAATGGCACAACCACTATGGAAAACAGAATGACCCTTTCTCAAAAACCCAGAAATAGAATTACTACTGTATGATCCAGCAATACCATTCCTAGGTATATACCCTGGGGAAAAAAAAAAAAACCCACTGCCATTGAATCAATTCTAACTCTTAGTGACCCTGTAGGACAGAGTAGAACCCATAGGGTTTCCGAGGCTATAAATTTTTACAGGAGCAGACTGCCTGTTTTTTCTCCTGTGGAGCAGCTAGTGGGTTCAAATCTCCAACCTTCTGGTTAGCAGCTGAATACCTTACTCACTGTGGCGCCAGAGCTCCCAGTATATATCCTAAACAGGAAATACCAAGCCCACTCCCATCAAGTCAATTCTGACTCATGACGACCCCCACTGGATTTCCAAGGCAGTAAATCTTTATGGAAGTAAATTGCCCCATCTTCCTTCTGCAGAGCAGCTAGTGGGTTTGAACCACCAACGATCTAGTTAGCAGGCAAATGCCTTAGGCACTGCGCCACCAGAGCTCCTTTCATATATACCTTTTGTATATACCTTTCATGTTGTTGTTGTTATGTGCCATCAAGTCAGATCCGACTCATAGTGACCCCTCCTTGGGTTTCTGAGGCAGTATCACTATGGAAATAGACTGCCCCATCTTCCTTCTGAGGAGTGGCTGGTGGGTTTGAACTGCCAGCCTTCTGGTTAGCAGTCAAGTGCCTTTAGGCACTATGCTACCAGAGCTCCATATATCTTTCGTAGAGACCTAAAATAAAAGAAACACACCTATGCTTGTTGTGGCAGAAGAACATTCTGAAAACTAAGACTCTTAACATGACAAAGACTTCCAACTTAAGTGTAAAGCAAATTTCTTCTTGTTGGAGTGACTCCATTTTGTGTCTTTTAAAACAGTCTTTTTCATACAGTGCAGTTTGTCACTTCTGTAAAAATTTCCACTGGACCTTTGACTTAGATATAAGAGCAGTTCTGTAGAAAAATGTGGTTTTACTTATCTTACTCACATAGATGTTAAAGAAAACAAGCTACAGTTAAACTTCAGAGAGATGTACTTACAGTTAGAATAAATTAATGCTTATAGATAATAAACCTTTAAGAAGATGAATTGACACAGTGGCTGCAACAATGGGCTCAAACATAGCAACCACTGTGAGGATGGTGTAGGATCAGATGATGTTTCATTCCGTTGTACGTAGGGTCTCTGTGAGTTGGAACCAATTTCAACAGTACCTAACAACAGCAACAACTATATTAAGTAGAGACATGCTTATAGCTTTTTTGTATTTAATGCCCTTTTCTCCCCCTTAAGCATAAAAATACTTAGCATTTTCACTTGTCATCAATTTATTCTTTCAACAAACTCTTTGCTTTTATATTTTAACAGAGTTCATCAATATACTGCAGATCTAACTTCATTATTGCTCCCTTGACTATTTTTCAGAAACTATTTCCATTTTGCTAACCTCAGAAGCTAGGCTACAGGTGCCTACATGATCTAATGTGCTGGGAAACATGTGATTTCAGTGGTTATTCAGAAAATGGACCTACATGCCCCCTTTATAACACTCAGTATCTATATTTTAAAATTGTGTTAGGCTGGGTTCTCTAGAGAAGCAAAACCAGGAAATCTTATATATACATATAGAGAAAGAGAAATTTATGTTAGGAAAATGGCTCACACACTTACAGAAGCTGGCAAGTCCAAAGTTCTTGGATCAAACGTCAAGCTGGAGGCTATTCCCAACTCACACAGCTGCAGGGACTGATGAGCTCAGGGTTGGCAGGCAGTATACCCACTGTTGACTCCAACAAATAACGAATCCAAGATCTCCAGGCCGAATGGTGGATTGTTTGCTCACGGACAGTTGTAGGCAGCACAACAGGATCCCGATCCACAGAAGAGGGTCTCTTTTCCCTGGATGTCCATAAATATATTGGAAGCAGGCCACACCCCTAGGGAAACTCCCTTTCAATGGATTGGCTATTCAAAACATATACATCCAATTCCATCATGGGAGTAACCCACATCACAACTGCTTGAACCACACAGAATTGTGGTCCAGCCAAATTGACACACAGCTCCAACTATCACAAAAATTGTTTCAGGAAACACAGTCATCCAAAATCCCATCACCTAGAGTCATCCTCGGAAGGAAGGTTGGGCAATCTACTTCCGTAGTAATACCACCTCGGAAAACCAAGGAGGGGTTGCTATGAGTCGGATCCGACTCAACGGCAAAACCCCCTTTTGCTGTTATAAACTCTTTGTTTTCACTTTAAACAGACTTGTGGTTTTCCACTATGACTATTTTGGTGTCAGAAGTGGTATCCACAAGCAACTTCCTCAGGCAGCTCTCGGAGAGCCAAGAAATCAGGCTTTGGATCCAGCAGAGTCAACTAGACTCTCCTTTTTTCAATGGACCTTTGGGGGCTCCCTGGGTGTAAGTAGCTCTCAGATCTTTGAAACTCCACCTTGTTGCATCTGAGGTTCAGTTAAGTTTTATTACTGCCTCATTTACATTATTTTTGGTCAGCCTAGATATGTTTTCCCTTTTCTCCCTGTTTTGGTTTCTGTCAGAGGTAATTCTACTTCTTGCGTCTCAGGTTTAGTCATAGTAGATAATTCTGCTTTCAAAGAGCTGGAGGTCACCATAAGCCTCAAGACTTTTGGGTACAGGGTGCGTACCTAAATGCTAGTAGGGCACCCACCGTAGAGCCAACCATTAAAGACACCTGTGTGAGGATAACCCAGTGAGGAGACCGGCTAGAGCACTAGGCTGGGATTTGTTTCCACTGGGATGCACACGAACTCTCCTGCACCCTCAGGCACACTGCAGAAACAGCAAAACTCTCCCAGACCCTGTCGCATTTCCCCACAGGAATTGTTGTGACCCCAAGAAAACCAAAACCAGTACTCCATTTGGCTATTTGTGAGCTTTGCTCTCCTTGTACCAGGATGCCATTTGAGGAAACTGTCCTTAAGGCTTTCTGCCTGCAAGTTCAGGTCAAAGTTTTTAGCTTACAAGCTCAAATTTAAAACTTGAGATTTTGTAGAATGCACATTTTGTAGGCTTATACAATAACACATAAAACAAGCAACCCAGTTTCTTGTAAGTACACAGTAATTCTTTGCAGAAAAATGTTGTTGCTTAATGCTCGGTTTTGGACAAGGATCTGAATAAAAGCCCTCCATTTAAGAATCTGGTAAATTAAGTTTATCTAAGACCTAATTTTTCTGCAAGGAATTATTGTGTACATATACGAAACTGGGTTGCTTGTTTTTTGTGTTATTGTATAAGCCTGGTGAATTTATGTGTTTTTTGTTTATTTGTGTCAGAGTCTCTGCATTGTTTCAAGAAGCCATAACTGACATTTGCTGAGTGTTTCCTGTCATGCAAGTCTTTTAATAGAAAAAAAGACTGCTTCTTATAAGTTATACTGTCAGCAGCTACAAATTTTATATGAACCAGTCTATTTAAAAAGTGTACTTTTTAAATTAAATTTTAAAATAAATAAAATCTGCATTAAATTTTTAAATAAATTTATTCTGACCAAGACAAGTTCATGTCAACCTTAAAAGCAAAATCCTTTCTAAGTAACTTAAGCTAGATATTAGATGAAATGTATTTTATTTAAAGAAAAAAATTACTTATCTTGATTAACATAACAATACCTCAAAAAAGGACAAATTATTCTAAATTGCTTTTTTAAAGAATCTTATAAAACCTGCAAAAACAAAGTTATAACAATGTAGTAATTTATTATCTCCAGATAGTATTATTAAAATGGATTATAATATTTTTTACTTATTCTGATTAGTTTATGTTTACATAAATTAAACAGTCCTAACATTCCCAGGAATTAATTAAAATAAATTTATTCTGACCAAGACAAGTTCATGTCAGCCTTGAAAGCAAAACCCTTTCTAAGTAACTTAAGCTAGATATTAGATGAAACATGTTTTATTTAAAGAAAAAACATGATTTTTATTAATTAGAAGAAAGAAGACTAAACTGCTTACTGAAAAATAAGATAAAAAATAAAGGTTTGAATTAAAAATATAAATTAAACAAATGTTATTTCAATAATAATTATGGTTTATAATTTATAAACGTATATTAATTCTTAAGAATTTTAGGTGACCTCCTGGTCTTAAAATTGAGTGAATAAATATTCATTATAATTAAAATTTATAGCCTCTTACTTTTATGCCACAGAAAGAGGATACATATAAATTTAAGTCTAATAATAAGTATATTCTTTTTTTTTTTCTCACTCAAAAGGTTGTACTATAAAGAATACGTAATAGAGACAAAAATTTAAAAGGTTTATTAACAAGGAATTCATTTGCTATAATTAACATTTTTATCGGTCTGGTTAGTTGTTAGTTTACTAAATTTTAAGAACTTTAAGTGTCAAAATAACAAAGAATTAAGTTTCTCTATTAAAATAACAAAATTTTCTTTAAATACTAGATTAAAAAGTTAATTTTATTCTTTATGTAATCTATTTTTAAAAGCAAAGGTGCAACATAATAAATTCCTAAATTTAAAAAGCTATAGAATATGTTGTTGTTGTTATGTGCCGTCGAGTCGGCACCGACTCATAGTGACCCCTTCTTGGGTTTCTGAGGCAGTATCACTACGGAAGTAGATTGCCCCATCTTCCTTCCGAGGAGTGGCTGGTGGGTTTGAACCGCCAGCCTTCTGGTTAGCAGTCAAGTGCTTTAGCCACTACGCTACCAGGTTGGGCAATCCTATTTCCGTAGTGATACTGCCTCGGAAACCCAAGGAGCGGTCCCTATGAGTCGGGGCCGACTCGACGGCAAACAACAAGAACAACAACATAGAATATGTTAGGGGGGAAAAAAAACACCTTAAAGTTTACTCAATTTTGTTAGTGTTGTTTCCTTGATTTACTATTTATTGCTCTAATATTAAAAAAAATAATAATAAATAAATTTAAAGTATAAACTACCTAAGAGGCAAAAACTCTATATTTTTAAGTTTATGCTAACTTTTATGTCCTTCACTAAGAAATAAAGTCACTTGACTTTAGAAAAAGTTAAAGTTCACCTTTAAAATCTTTAATTAAATAACTCAAGTATTGTTTCTAATTGACTTGTAATGAATTGCTGACAACTTTAAAAAGCCACAAAAGAATTGTTTTTGTTTTATAAAATAATAATAAAACAAAAAGGTTTATTTGCTGTATTATGAATTATGTAGGCTATGTTCCCAAGGCAAGAAGTGCCAAATTTTCTCTAAGTTTAATTCATATGTCAATAATGTTCACCCAATCTTAGGCAACCAGCACATAATATTGTCATAACTTTATTATTTCAATTACTAACTTAATTGCAACTTTTAAAAAAAAATCTAGCACTACCAAAATAAATAATTTTAACCAAAAAATACATATTATTTACCCATAAAAAAATCTTTATTACTATTCAAATATTTAGGGACTTAATAGGATATACTGACTATTTAATATTATGTCTTAAAACTATTTTGTATCATATCTTTTAAAATAAGCTTAATTATTCATTTAAGCAATATTTTTATCAAAGTTTTTTATTGACTTTATTTAGCTTTGTATTATTTTAAATTTTTCAATCAAATTGTTTACTTTAAAAAATTATTATAAGTTAACCATAGTCATCTTTAAATTTACTATTTATAGAAAACTTCTACTTTAAAATTCACAGAAAATGCTTAACTGAAATGTTTCAACAAAAATGGACAATATCAGACCAATGACAAGCCCTATAATATTTCAAATGTGGATACCATTGCACTAAATTAAGATTTGTGAAAAACTAATAAAGTTTTCAAACTATGCTGACCCAAAGTTATGTGGAACTAAGATAAACCATCTAAGACCAAACAGGCAAAAATATTATTATAAAGTTTATTTGAAAATATTGTTAATATTCAATGATTTATTTTCTAAATCTAAAAAGCTTTTTTCCTTTTTTTAATGTAAAATCTCCTCATTTCAATAACTAATAACATTATGTTGATTAAAGGATATCTTATGGATTAAAAGACGTTTTGGCACACATCAAAGTTTGGAGTAAATGTATTCAGAATAATTTAAATGATTCCACCTGTGGACTCCAAGGAATAAATATTAAAATCACTATGACAAAAGAAAAAAAAATACATATAGTTCTTCAAAATCAAATAGCCCTTGACATCCTTACTACTAACTATACAAAGAAGGACCTATGCCATTATTAAAACTAATTGTTTATTTTAAATTTTAATCATCCTGTTCCTTCCTTAACTGATGTTATATTTTATTTTAAAATTCTTCTCATCGTATCTTATTATAAAATGCTGTGTGCCACACTTAATTCCACTTTAAAAGAATATTTTTTTCAAGGTTAAAGAAGGCTTTAATGACCAAAAATCAAAATCTGCCTACCATTACTCCAAAAGAATATATGTATTGAAAAAGACATAAACTGAAAAACTATTCAAAAAAAAAAAAAAGTACTACAGCCCCTACCTGGGCTATCCAGCCCACAGGAATACTCAAACTCAAATTCCAGCAACCTGAAAATCTGAAGTAGATGACATCTGAACCAGACAGCTTCGCAAGACCTCTGGACCAAGACTGTATATAGCACATGGCTCCTAACTGAGCTGGACTTTACTTAAATAAACTGTACTATTACTTGTTATCATGCAAACAATATTTTTTTACAATTTACTTCATCCTAATAGCCATTCTTTTTATAATTGCTTTATTGTATGATTTTAATATTATGCCTTGCTTTATCGTTTTATTTTTCCTTTACAATTAAGTGTTTTTCTCCAGTTATTTTGATAACTAACATTAATACATTACAAAGTTGTTGTTGTTGTTGTTGTGTGCCATCGAGTCGGACCCAACTCATAGTGACCCCTCCTTGGGTTTCCGAGGCAGTATCACTACGGAAGTAGATTGCCCCATCTTCCTTCCAAGGAGTGTCTGGTGGGTTTGAACCACCAGCCTTCTGGTTAGCAGTCAAGTGCCTTAGCCACTATGCTACCAGAGCTATGTGCCATTATTAACATCTCTTGTTGCTCCTAGATAAATATCAAAATAATGATAATAAAAGGGGGGTCATAAAAATAATTCACCAGAAAGTTACTGGACTCCATGTAAAAATATTAAGAGCACTCATAATGGGTTTAATATTTTCAGTTAGTGACCCAACAATATAAAATTTTAAGTTAATTCTCATTAAAACTGGACTAATTATATTCATTCTTACTGTCATTTTCTTTTGCCTGATTAAATGTTTCTTCTTTTATATCACTTGACTTTACATCCCAGAACAAGATAACTTTTCCTCTAATATTTTAAATAATTTTCAAAAAGTATTAACTGTTGGCTATTCTCTATAGCTCAAACTCAAAAGCAGTTGGCTTTATTATTTATTATTATTATAAAATGTTTACTTAGAGGAATTTGACCTCCCAATTTAATTAAAGGTTTCTAGTCTATCAAATTGTTCCTTCCCATTTGTTCTTGCTCTATTCACATCCTCATAATAACAAAATTACTAAAACAAAGTCTTTAAACAATAACATAGTGAAAACACCTGTGATGGTGCCCAGCTATATATAGCCTTGTCTTTTAACTGATAATGTCTGGGGTCTTAAAGGCTTGTAAATAACAAATGACCATCTATAATCCTGACCAAATCCCTGAAGAGAAGGAGTTACTCCCTCTGGGTGATCAAATGAATCTGAAAAACAACTCACCCTGAAGATGAGGCTCTTAGCTTAAGCAGTGTGAAGCCAAAGTCTGTGTAGAAAAAAAGTACTCCTAAGTGTGATGTTGAATTCTCAAAGGAATTCCTGATCAAAAGGGGTAGTCAGGAAGAGCATTCTAAAAAACTAAGATACTTAACGTGACTAAGAGTTCTAACTGAAATCTAGATTAAATTTCTTCTTGTACTAAGTGACTCC